TTCCAGTCCACCGATGTTTAGGCAATTTTACATAAGTCATTCTAAATGAAAATGTTTCAAATAAAATTAATAAAGTTCCTTCACTATTAAGTGTTATAAAATAAATATTTATATTTCAGAGAGGATAACATTTGCAGAATGTTTTATATATTTGCTGCGGTATCCTGAAATGGAAGCATGAATGAAAGTTTGGGTACCACAACGCCTAAAGTACATGATCACATGTACTTGAAAACGCATGATCCCATGTACTTAAAAACACATGATCCCACTTGAAGTGTCCCATATATATATAGAGTCTCCCATGTATATATCCAATTGAACACAAGTTCAATTCAGAGTTACAGACATAACAGGAAGCAGTACTACGAAACATATGAAATATAATTCGTCCACACATTGTGTATGCATTACTGTCAAGAGAACAAATTATGTTGAGGTATATTGCAGCCCTCTCATATATTCATTCCCTGCAATGTTGCTTACTTTTGGCCACGCTGATTTTTGTATATTTTAAGGAAATCCATGGTTCAAATTTAACAAGTGTTGTCACGGCTTTGATGAGAACGTTTTCATGCTCTCCTCGGTACCCTATAGAGATGCGTTAAAGAATATTTATGTTTATAGGGAAATTTGCAAATGTATATCCTGAGATACTGGAGCAAAACTTGAGCAAAAAAATAATCTCAATGGTTGAAGGATGACTGGGAGGTATATTAATTGTATTGCTGCAGTAAAAACAGATCATAGGTGTGTTACTTATCATTTGTTAAAATAACCAAAGACAAGTCTCGAATGACGTGGTCAGCGACACCAAAAATTTGCATACCCCCAACACCCCTGGTACACAGACTACCAGGTTACAGGTGCCGTGTCATATACCCATGCACCATGCATATAAAGTTAATAAAAATGTTTGTGCAGAACGTTGTTTGAACTAAATAGGCTAGCACTAAACATTGTTCCAATGTCATTTTCCTGTAGGGTAGAGAGAAACAGCGAGAAGACTGATTATAGGTGCGATTGGGTGAACGAAGGTAAACAAGCATAGGTACCTTACGAGCAATATAATACTGAATAAATTCAACGCCTAACCGCATCAGATAAAGAATTTAAGACAAGATCAAACGTTGCACAACATCAAAGTAGTTGCGATAAGTTGAATGGATTTCACATACATATGCAAATTGTCACACACCAATTTACAATATAAATATCTTCCTGCATTGCATGACAAGTCGAGACACATATATACGATGCAAAGTTCACAAGTTTGTTTTGCGCCTTTCCGGTGCTACCAAAGAGGGGAGGACTGGGAAAACTCTGGAGCAGATGCGATCCGCGCATGAAGACTTGAAAAATATAACTCAGTACTCACTGCAGTGAGTGACAAAGAGCGCATTTTCTCGTCGACGAAAACGTGAAGTCACGGACGGACAGACAGACAGACGGATATGACGAGCACAATAGTGCATTTTTTCCATAAATAAGAAAACGCGTTAAAAACACTTGAAGCAAGGATAGTGAGGCTGGGTTTCAGGCCCGCGCTACGTTAAGTTAACGGGAACTTGAGAGCTAGCAAGTCTTCCTTCACAATCAGAATTTTGAGATTACAAAACAAAATCAAAACGGCCGCTGTAGCATTAGTCAGGATAGTCATTTTGGCTGGATAACAATCTGAAAATTTTTAATTCTTCCATTCAGCAAGGTGGTTTTCAGATGTATTAAATTCTTGAATATTTTTACGAATACATAATCCTTCATCAACCCCATGGAGCAATCAATTATTATTTTATTATTATTTATTATTATTATTATTATTATTATTATTATTATTATTATTATTGTTATTATATTACAATTATTATTTGATTATTTTTTAAACCCTTTTCCCTGATTGCCAACACACATCTAACGCATCTCAAGCCTATATACCGACAAACCACATCGGCGAAAACACACTGAAGGCTGAGTTCAACAAATTGACGCTTAACAGACTCACCTATAAATAATATGTAAACTGTTATAGACTTGTTTGTAAACTGAGGTTCGCATCCGACCTACATAAAATCTAACTGACTAATTAAGATGTTGCGAGGAGTCGAGTGGAAGTCATTGACTTAATTACGAGCGACTTAATTACGAGTTCAATGCACAGGATACATTGTCATTCATCACGGTACATTTTACTTTATGTGTTGTAAGCGAAAGCCGAGCTAACTCATCAAGAGTTTTATTCAACAAGAACGAAACATCCTGGAACAAAATAACACTACTATAAAACATGGAAACGGTAACGTAATGGGAATATATTCATATGTGAAAGTCTTACTAATAAAGAAACTATTTACGGAATACTTACAAGGAGAACTGTAGTTCTAGGTCATGAACGTACTAGAGTCGAGTCAATACTAACTATAGTCATTAGTTCTAGAGCGAAGTAACTTACTCGTAGGAAGTATAGTACGGAATACTCTATATACATGCGGGCGCTATAACAGAAATTTCACGACGTTATAGGAAGCGAAGTTGTGTACCAATGGAGGGAATCTTGATAAATAAACCGCAATAATAAACGAGTATACCGTAGTTTTTCTGGTTTGTTATGGACTTTTTAATAGGAAAATTTAATAAAAACTTGTAATCGGGCAATGATTATTCAGTAATAGAATTACAATCCATAATTGTTACGAATTCAGTTTGAGTCTCCAGAATTTCGTGATGTAGACGACACGAGCATAATTCTACTGACTCTGCATATGGATGTGTCTAGCTCTGCATTCACAAATGAAATTCATGAGCCAATACAAAGTTGTATCCACACACAATATTCCAGGTTGGATACTGGGCTTGTTTTGGCCCAAACATAGTCTATTATTTACTGCAAGCCAGAAGGTTGTGGGAGAAACGTCCTACAGAATGGGATAATATCAGTCGACTCGTTGATCTCAGACAGTGAATCTCTCGTAAGACATCCTCCGAGATTGAATAATTTATTTCCATTCCGCAACTGCAACGATCCCAGATAATGTTTGCTGATAACAGATTATTTAATTATATTGTTTGTAAGATTTTATGCAAACATATTTAAAGTTTTCCATAAAACCTCAAAATCACACAGCAAAATATTGCTATCAAATAGTACTGTTTTCATTGTTACTATCAACGTTTCGATGACGCTATGATTGTTGGCATATTATCGACGTTGTATAACACTGGATTAGGAAACATTGCATGCATATTTCCTCTCAGATGTAAATCGAGCGCACTGACACAGTTTTCAAATTTCTGCAAACATAGAAGAAAAATAATTTTAAAGAATCGTACAGTTATAGGCACTATAAGGCAGCATGGCTACGTTATGTGCAATAATATTCACTAGCAATTTCGAAATAATGGGAATCATTTCCTGCAATCACCATCATTCATTAGAGACATTTCTCAATAATTATGCAGAAGGCGAAGGAAGACTGGAGTAAAGTTATTGAGGGTGATTTTCTATTAAAATTGCCTGTGAGGAATTTTTGGTAGTTCCCATTGCAATATCCACATGAGAAGCATGAATGTTGATCATTTTAATACTTTGAGACAGAGGGCGGTATAAATACTGCTATTAAATTTTTCTGTTTATCGAGTTTTCATATCGGGTAACAGAAAAATCTACTTTTATCAATCACTGTAAAATTAAATTGTTGTAAAAATATAATTATTCATCGTAAATATAAATTTATATCACGTAATAACCTGCAAATGAAAGCCGATTGGTGTCGCCTTCTAATTTGAAATTGTGTTTTCATAAAATTTAAGTTATATAGATAGAACGCAAATCTTCATTAGGACAATATTAATGAAATTATCCCGTGGAACCCGTTCGCTTAGAAACAATTTCGTCAGTATTTAACACGTTTTTCTTAGCTTAGCTTCGCGTTTGTTTGTTTATTTGTTTGTTTGTTTGTTTGTTGTTAACATTGACAACGAAAATTAGCCCACTTCTGTGGGTCGGGCTGTACGTTCACCATCAAATTTCCAAAATTCGTGTGTTGTGTGCTTTTCGCTTTAATCATAAAACTGCCCGACACACGTTTTTTTGGGACGAACCATAATTTATTTTCTACTTTTTAGTCCACACGAAAAACGTGGTTTTTAAAAAAAATTTTTAAGTATTTTATTTTCAACATGTTAATATATTCTTCAAATAAACCTTTCCAAAACGTATATCTCTGGAACGCCAACTGCACCTCAGCTAGGTTGCTGGCCGCTCCCGTCGCTTTCGTTTCCCTTCTATCTGAAAGAATTCGGGATATGAAAGATTCTTATGGAATTGGGAAGGGGACTTGCAATAGCGTTGATACCGAATACACCCTTCATAACAGGGGTCTGAAGAATGGGGCGATATGGCCCGTATTCATATAAAGGGGCAAGAGCAAAAAGCTCTGCTACATCAATTGCACTAACTCGCTTTGCGGAAGCGCCAATACTCAAAGGCTTCGTGTGAGAGTTTCGTATACGATAGTCTTTGGGTATTTTCTCTCTGAACTGATTCGTATTCAAGAACATTGCTATGCTATGTTCTTCAATTCAATATGTAGAGTCATTTGTTTTGATACGTTAAGATCTATGATATAAATCAGAAATTGGAAGATTTTGTGTCTTCAGTTGTATTATACGTTTGTAGAAAATTTGATTCTGAGTTATCCCCACAAAACAGACGCACTTTTCAAAAGGATTAACGATTGGTTTCCGAAAAAATTATCGATATCAGAAAAATATTTACCTTCTATTAATTATCATTATCGTCTTTGTTTTTGTAATGGTTTGCTCGGGACTGTAAATTAATGATCAACTTGAATTCATGAAGCAAATTTACTTCCATTGCTGCTTAAAGGCGAAATTAATCACTTACGAGTGCATTTTCAACGTCAAATTCAATATTGCCTCATTCTCGAGTAAATACAAGTATTATATTGAGTCAATTTGTACAAAATATATCTTATCACTCTTTAGTCGGGGAAAACATCGTGCTCATGTCTGTAGTTAAACAGAAAAAAGTCTTATATTCCAGTAAAATGACCGTTTCTTCATTCCAAGTTGTAAAGTGAATTTTTTCTACAAAGTTGCTCGGCTTAGGGAACTTTAAGAGATCTCAGTAGTACAACTTGACATCTTTGAGCTGGCGAAATGACTTGAGGTCAAATTAGAAGGATTCTTGCCTGTGAAAGAAGAAAGACCTGATAACCACGGAGACTACACTGCTCATTAGGAGCACTAACTTCAGTAAGTGAGAGGTGGGGGCTGAAGTTAGTGAGGGTGAAGTCCACCCCACTATGGAGATAGTAGGGTGGAGGGGGATGAGCAGGAGATAGTAGGGTGGAGGGGGCTGAGCAGGAGATAGTGGGGTGGAGGGGGCTGAGCAGGAGATAGTGGGGTGGAGGGGGCTGAGCAGGAGATAGTGGGGTGGAGGGGGCTGAGCAGGAGATAGTAGGGTGGAGTGAGGGGGCTGAGCAGGAGATAGTGGGGTGGAGGGGGCTGAGTAGGAGATAGTGGGGTGGAGGGCGCTGAGCAGGAGATAGTGGGGTGGAGGGCTGAGTGACAAGTATTGACTAGTGGTGTAGGAAGTATTGTAACTATTGTAATAACTGCCGGTGGAGGCAATAATGGCTGGCGGCTGAAAGTGTGGAAAACGTGGCCCAATTACAAGCACCTTGAATGTGCTAATTTAAGACATGCACATGCTGTCATTTTTTGAGTGAATAATTGAAATTTCGTTTTAGAAATTCACATTTCTTATAAAAATATTTATGCGCCCGCCATAGATTAGTAAAATGAATTAATTTAGAATTTTTCACGGGCTAGAATAGTTTAAAAATGGACGAAAATTCCGCGCGACAGCTACCTGGACCATCGTTTGTCAGCTGTATATTTGACTGGATATTTAAAAAATATTAGCATGTTTGAAATGTTCTGATCACTTCTCCAAACGCTACGATATTGTACGCAACGCGTAAAAAAGGCGTAAAATCAGCAGAACTGCTCGTAACAGAATTTCGATTATGGAAGCTATGTATTACATTTATAATCGATATTAAAACATTTATTTCAAGTTGCAATAAGATAGAAGCAATATCTAAGAACTGCGACTAGAAGTTCCTATACATATAGTGAAATTTTATTTTTCGACTAGATCTCTTCGCCGATCTGACTGGAAAACTCTCATTTATTTCAATTTTCAAGAGTTCCGTGACCACTCGGCCGAAATATTTTTTTCCGTCCTAATCGGTCTTTATTTGCCTAGGGATCTTCTCATGATCGTTTTGGAGTGCTACACTCCTCAGGGTAAATCAAAAAGCCATAAGCATCCTTCAAAAGCGGTAGATTATTCAGATGATGCCTGTGGGAAAACACGGTCATGCGAGATTACCCCCAATACTCGTAGCTCTTACCCTAGTCAAGAAACGCTTCGTAAGAATAGCGTTACACAGCAGTTATCGCCGCCTCATACTCGGTGCTCCTGCCCTAGTCAAGAAATTCTTCGTAGGAATAGCGTTACATAGCAGTTTCGCCGCAGTATACTCGGTGCTCCTGCCTTATGCAAGAAACACTTCGTAAGAATAGCGTTACACAGCAGTTATTCCCGCCTTATACTCGGTTCTCCTGCCCTAGTCAAGAAATGCTTCGTAAGAATAGCGTAGTGCTGTAGTCATTCTGTCCAATACCCATAGATGCGGCCGTAAGCACGCAACGCTTCGTAGGAATAGCGTAGAAGTGCAGTCATCGCTGTCCATTGAGATGGTGCAGGATCTCAGTGTTGGTATAATCCTTCGACGGCATTCGATGGGTAACTATGAAAAGTGTTTTATTTCACACCACTAAATTTTCCGAGAAGCAACAAATCTTTTCGCTAGAGATGCATTTTCGTTTAATATCACCGAAAAACTATACGATGCTGAGCTTTGCAGTGTCGTTTAGAAATATTCGAATTAATTAAAATTTGTTATCATAAGCTGAAGCAATTTTCTAGTTTTTTTTCATGCTATGTAGGTGAAAAACATTAGCATGTTTTCGAGTACCGGTACAGTAAACGAAAAAATGTGAAAACTTTATAGAACTATAAGAATAATTATGCCTAGCAAAATGGCAACTCCTTCGTACACTTTACTGCATAAATTTTCGTAACTGTTCACTATCGCTTGCCTTAAACTAATTATGATTTTGCACAAATGCCACTCGCTGAATTACTCCGAAATGACCACTTCGGGTTAAAATAAAATACAGAGTTGATCTTTTGTTTATCATTCTCGTGTTGTAGTTCTTCGGTCATCTCTACGTCGATAAATTCTCATGTTGTAAGGTATTGTTCGTTACCCTCTTGATCCAGATGAAATTGCTCTAAAAATCCTGAATAAAATGAGTAAATGAGCGCCAAACGACAAGTTTATATTGGAATTTATAGGTTAATATTAAATAATGCTGAGATATTATTATATACATGTAGACCTACTAATTGTGTTAAAGTTCAATTCGAGCGGAACAATATTCTTGCACCGAGAATATTCATCATGTTTCGATTTTTAGAAAATTCGCATGACAGATTTAGCCATATGAAATCATGATTTTTTTATAATTTTTTTCATGGCCTATGATAAAAAGGTCGAAGAATCTAGTAGTAAAATAAATATAAGTTGCTTAGTCGTTTTTCTATTCTGCTATTTCGAAAGTTTGCAATCGCGCTCAACTGATGACATAAACGACTGAATTCGATTGTCATTTTTAGGAATTCTCTATCGTAGTTTACTCGTCGAACGACTTTAAATCCACCTCAAACTAGTGTCGTCTATTAAGTAATGTCTAAAATCATTAATCGTTTTAACAGCCTACTATGCAATGGTTTTAGAAGTTAATCATTCCTCTTTGTAGAAAAATTATGTATGATCATGATTGTCAACGTTATTTCAACTATAGTTTTTAGAATATTTTTACGAATTCTGGCTAAATAGGTTTTTGATATACACCGGTGAAAATGAGGCTCTTGCAGAGAAGGAAAATTTCTGTCATTCTTTCACGCTTTAATTATAATGATGTTCACGCATGTAGCTTATTCTTCCTAAGCTGAACACTTGACTTTAACTAAATATCTCACACAAACGAAGAACTTCACGATTAAAAGTGATATTTCCGGTGATTTTTATTTGATTTCGTATTAATTACTCCAAGGTTTGTCGCTCTCAAAGTCGCACAGTCGAGTTATCGGCGCTAATCTCCACCGACCTGCAGAAATCCTCAGATGTCCTTTCACTTTACCGCCCTCGCTTGCAGAGAAATTACTCGCAATTCTTATTTTTTCTCCCTGGGGGCCCCCAGAGCGAGAATTCCAGGGAGAGGAGAAGTGAAGCGACATGGATGATTAAGATGGATAGGATGAATGAGGTCTTTTTCCCTGTGTCATGTCAAGTTAGTAAGAGAGTGGAGATAAGGACCGAATGAACGAGGAAATTCATAAAATATTGAAGACATGTGGATTGCCAAGATGGTCGTCTAATAAAGGAGTCAAACTGCTGTAGGATTACACATATAAGAGATGTGAAAATGTAAACTTTTATATCAAGGTGGAGTTATATTTGGACTACAGTGAACAAATCTACCAAGAACGGTAAATAGGGATAGAATGCATGCAAGATTTGAAATGCTAATAAAGTATGACTTTATAATTACGCAATGCCCGACATTGCTTAACACGAGACTGTCATTTATTTTTATATGATATCTGCTACCCGAGTCCGGGAACCCGGTATTGAGAAAAATTTATGCGAGCGGCTTAACGTATGGAGCAGAAGTGAACGATAAGTTACGAATTTATTATTGACGAAGACTATTATCTGTTATTCTCTAGCAGATTTCCTGAGCATTGTCCTGACGCGAGATGGTCAATGTGTTATGCTAAACAAATATTATTTATACGATATGTCTAAGACATAATGACATGCCTGCATACGCCATGTGGAAGGGCTTTTGGCATAATTTGACAAGGCTAATTTTAGTTATTGATATGATCATGCGTATTTATCAGAGTAATAATGTGTAGGTGCAGTAGTTTTGGCTAGCAAGTATTCAATATGCTTTACATCGGTGAGATATTTGTTTTACATAGTGAAATAAAACATTTTCTGCACATGCAGTGGATGGTTTCACCGTGACATATTTGTGAATGCTATAGAGACAGATAATTGTGTGCCCATACTATCTATAAGGAATGAAATAAATGTGAGACTGAAATAGCCGCAACACAATTGCTATATTAAAAATACATCAACTGAAAAATTCAGGCTTTTCCAAATCGTTTTTGTAAAGAACGATATAAAAATATTAAGCAATGTTAACCATGAAAGATAATTTAGTAATTTTCATTAGTAATGAGAAATAATTTGGCTCGCAAATTAAAAAGAGATTTTTTCTAGGATCCGAAATTCATTGCCTACATCTGAGCAGCAATGATATCTGACTTGACAATGGAACAATTTTTAACCAACCTCCATCGCATATGATGCGAGAAGTAGCCATTATATAAACCATCGCTTAGAATACACTTCATCAAAAATTTTGTAGAGCGAGTAAACAATACGTCGATACATAAGCGTGATATCCTAAATGCGAAGTCAAAAAAATCGTGTGATGTGATATAAATGAGAAGCCAGCTAAAGCGCATTCATTGAATCACGTATCGAATAATATAGGTGAATAATTAGAGTATACTCGACAAACTGACATTTCTATAACCACGCCGGCTGTAGAAGAGAAAAAGTTTTCTGCTTATTGGGCAAGGATCCAGGCTATGCTTTTGACCATGCTACACATTCTTTGTAAAAATTTATTTTTATTCATGAATCTAATGTTGAGGAATGAGGTTGTTTTAGTTTTGTTCCAACAGTGGTAGTCATATTCGTTCTAATTCCGTGGTTCTATTAGGTAATTGTGAATGCTGTGAATATTCCACTTTTTTTATTCGAATTGTGTTATTGTGAAACGTTTGTGCTTATCGCTAGTTCACAATTCATTGTAACCCTATTTTTTCAGAACATCTAGAAAACCGAGAAATAAATTTTTAACTGGAAATAGAAATGTCTCTCGAAAAAGATGGATTACCCGGGAAAACATCAACTTTATTAGCTTGGTGGTAACAGAGCAGACCTTATTCGCATTCGAACTTTTATTTTCAGTTTATTGAAATTCGTTATAATTATCATGTATTTTTCCTCCCGATAATTAAGTAAGCGATTAATTCATTAAATACAGCAAGCGATTTCCTCGCTCGCTGTGCTATCGCCTAATTAATGTCTGGAAACAGTAAGGTTTCTCTAATATTGTTATACACTGGGCTGGGCTATGAAAATTACGCATGCCGAACTTAATATTTGATATGATATGATGGAGTTAGCGTGTCATATGCTCATGCACATTGGGAATATTGCAGCTTATGAAATACTTCCATGATGACGGATCCATCGCTCAGGAATGGCACATGGATACGAGCGTTTCCCCTGCTTGACTCTTGTAGTTTGCCTTTAGTGGTGGATTAACCAACGCAGCAATGGCTGTAGTCAAATAAAGATGGAGTGGCAATTATCTCAATTATATGATCCCGGTGTTTTAGATCGCGAATGTTGTGGGCGGATCTCAACAACCTCGCTCGTCCATGTTCAGGTCATTGCTGACTGACACATGCCACTTGTCGACAACGGCTGCAACCGTTACTGGCATAACAAAGCCCTTTACTGGAGTAAGAGATGGCAATCATTGTAGTAACCGAAGCATGTTAAAGTCGTAACATGCTTCGTAACAGAAGCCGAAGTCGTAACAGAAGCCCGTTAGGGGGAGAAACATGGGAACTTTAGCGGTATGAAAGACAGC